AAGGAGAGGGAAGTGTACGTGACTGAGCTGGGAAAAATAGATGGGACGTACAGGGGGAGATGTTTGAGGCATGGAATAGAGGAAAGGACGGTAGCTGTACTGGCGCATACGAGGTGGGTTGAAAAGGCGGGAAGGGATACCGTTAGGATAGACTAGGGAAGGTGATCGGTCCTGTGGAAACAATGCTCCGTCCTCTCGAGGACGCGTGGTCAATGGTTTAACCGCTAAGGCATGCAAAACACAAGCATAAGAGTACGCCCGCCGCCGCCCCCAATGGCCCAAGATTCCAGCCAGCAGACAATGCGCACGACTACCCCCTACCCCCCTTTCGCCCCCCGCCGCTATGTACGGCCCACACCAACTAGGTAATCTCACCGCTCTCGCGGGCGTATCTTCTCCCAAGTTCTCTGTTATCTCCCGCAGGTCGTCCCACGTCGTCCATACCCCCCCCAACCCGTAGAACTGACCCACGGGGCTTCCCTCTTCCACCCAGTCCGGCCCCTCCCCCGCGTCCCCATCATGCCACAACATCTTGTCGGCGTCGCCTCAAGGAATAGGGATAGGGTTCGGCGTGCGAGCGTGCGGGGGGGGGCGTCATGACGCACATCACTACCTTTGCTGGCCCCTTGTCTTAGGCGAAGGAGGCGCGACGGTATGCCTACAATTTGCAGATGGTTTCAACCAAGGATGGGGATGGGGGATGTACGTACTCATGTAGGCGCATGCAGTCGTTAAGACTATTGATGGACGGGGGGGGGGGACTTATAGTCGTGCATGCCGTGGTCGTCAGACCATTGACCTCGCATCCCTACAAAGCCGGGACGGAGCACGCCGGGTTCTCACCGGACCAGACTCTCACATCACCAAGCGCGAAGCGCCGTGAGGTATTCGGCGAGTCGCATGAAGGGTGCGCTGCATCCTGCTAAGGGTGTTCGGCATCTTGTGCTTACTTCCTTGCGTACAGATGACAGCTGCGTATGAATTAATATATTTTCTGGTGTTTTCACTTCCTGAGCCAGTTGTAAGCACTTTGTAACTGCCTCGAGGGTGCTTGACCATT